CAGCCTCCCTCTGTGCCCAGAGCTGTCCTGGGTGCTGAGGACTCAGCCTGGAGTGCGCCTCTCTCTGTGCCTGGTGCTGTCCTTGGTGCTGAGGACGAGGCCTGGGACAGGGCTCCTCTATATCTGGTGCCGTCCTTGTTGTTGACAACAAGGTCTGGAGCCCACCTCCCTCTGTGCCCAGTGCTGTCTTTGATGCTGAGGACTGGGGGCCCATCTTCCTTTGTGCCTGGCACTGTCCTTGGTGCTGAGGATGCAGTCTTGAGTCCAGGTCTCCTCCTGGCACTGTCCTCTGTGACCGAACCCACCTACTCTGTGCCTGGAGTTGCACTTGGTGCTGGCCTTCCATATCCGCTGGGGCGTGCCACCCAATGTGCTGAGTGCTGTCCTCAGGCTGAGGACACAGCCTAGAGCCCTTCTCCCTGTGTCTTGAGCTCTCTGGCCTGGCATTGTCCTGGGTGCCTGAACCAGCCTCCTCTGCACCCGGTGCTGTCCTTGGTGCTCATAAGGTGGCTTAGAGCCCGGCTCTCTTGCCCGTCTTCCCTGAAGATGGAGCCCTGAGCCTGACCGAGTTGGCGTTTCAGAGGAAGCTGGGACTCCACAGAGAACATCACCCTCGAGTGGGAACAGAAGTGGGAACACCAAGCAGAGATGGCAGCCATGAGGATGAAGCCCCCGTGACGTCGGGCATTCATGGTGGATGGGTGGGCCCTTGATTCTTTAGAGGACACTCAAGCTGAGCACCAGAGGTCTTTTCACAGTGGGAGCTGCTGGCAATCACTCTGTCAACCCTGTCTGTTGGGGGGCTGAAAACAGCATGAGGGGTGTCCTAGGTCAGGACTGAATGCTGCTCCCCAACAAATGGATGCTGAAATGGCTGAGGACAGATGCCCCCAACACTTCCCCTTGGGGGAGACAGGGAGGGCACACCCCAAGCCAGCAGGGCATATGACCTGAGGCGGGGAGACCTGGTGGATGGAGCATGGGAACTAGGTAGCTTTCCTGCATGCTCTCCGACAGCCAGCAGCATTGTTCAGGAAAGTCTAAGGGCCTCTCCTAGCGATTCGCAGTGTCGACTGATAAGCCAAAAGGAAAGCATGCCCCTGATCACTGTGTCCAGCCCCCAATGGATCCATCACACTTGTGACTTAAATTTTCAAAACTAAAATTTCTTGTCTAATAAAACCTGGAAATCACTGAAGATTCTTCAAAGAATAACCCTGACTACACCCAGTGTTGGTGAGGACACAGGCTGGTCCTCGTGCACTGTGGGGGACATCAAATATCCCTGGTGACACTCAGTGCTGTTGAGGACAGTCCTTGTGCATTGCAGGGAACATTGAATATCCCTGACCACACCCAGTGCTGGCGAGGACAGAGGCTGGTCCACATGCACAACAGCGAGACATCAAATGTGCAGTCACTCTGGGAAAGAAGTACCCTTTCTTAAGAACCCATGGCACTATGGCAGAGCCAGTCGGCAAGGGCAATGAGTGCTGGCACTGACTGCGGCTTTACACGTGATGGACCCAGCATCCTCCAGCAGGTTCGGGTAGACAGACGGTGGTGCACGGTACCAGGGAATACTCCTCAGCAACAAAAGGAAACTGGCTATTAGTCAACACACACAACAACTCCAGGGAATTAAAAAAGTCAGTATCAAGGTTACACAGTGCATAACTTCACTTTATAATCTTCTAGAAATGACCAAATTAGGGATGAAGCACAGAATAGCGCTTGCAGATATTAAAGAAGGAAGGACCCGTGGGCGAGCTGCTCTAGACTGTTCTGGAGGCTCCCACGCAAGCACGAGAACCCACGCAGGGCTGGCAAAAGGTGCAGAGCCTACGTGCAGGTGGAGGCCTCTCACTGCTGCCACAGGTACCAAGGAGACCAGTGGAGGGCGTACAGGGTTTGTGCTCTCCCTACAACTGCTGCTGAATCTGCAATGACCTCAATGTGAAACACTCAAAACAGACACACGGGGAAAAATATGCACTGATGTTCTAGATGACAGAGAAGAGCTCAAGAAATGCTTTGAACAACAGCGGCAAAGTCAGAACAGATAGCACTCCGGTGACTCTGAGAACAGCCGACTGTGTTTAAACACCACAACCACTTCACAACAAGCCTCCCTTTCATGGTAGGTGTGCATGGTGCAGTTTAGTGTCCCAAGCTAATATTCAGCATTCAGTTCCTGACAAGGTGTGCGTGCGCGCGCACACACCCACACCCACAGACACAGCCTGCTCTCTGGATGTCATCTGACAGGTGCGTGCACAAGGTAGGCAGCCAGGAAAGCAGCCTGATGGCTCCACAGCCCCTCCTGAGCCCACCACCTCTGCTCTCATGGTCCTCCCTGAGCAACTTCTGGCCCACCTGGGGCTTGTCTGCTCCCACACCACTGTGCCTCCAGGGACGAGGGACACACACAATGTGCATGCTTATAGACACCTACACAAATGTCTGCTTGCTGGGCAATGTGGCCACTGAATGTGGGACTCTGGATGGAGCTGTGAGACGTGCACAGGGAATCTAAAGGTGGGCAGCCAAGTGACAGCACGAAAGCAACTGCTCCTGGGGCCTCAGGACTCACCAGCCACCAACTCCGCAAGGTCGGGCATGAGGTGAATACTCAAGGCAGCTCTCTAACAAGGAAGAACCACGGAGCAGGCGGAAGCAAAACCACGGTAAAATCAAATCCTCCTCAGTGATATGGGGCCTCCTGAGCTCAGACTGCCTGACTGTGCACTGCTCCAAAACCTTGTCAAGGACCAGGCCTCGCAATGGAGCCTGGACCAACACTCAGCCCTGTCTGAGTGTCACCTCAGGACACTCAGTCCTCGAGCAGTCTGACTCGCAGCTTCCTCTAGGGCTCTGGCACACAGCTCATTAGTACTCATCACCACAGCCTCCTGCCCACGACACTCTGAGTCTCCCCTGGAGACAGGGACTCCTCGAGGCCAGGTCCCGGAACTCTCACCTGCTGTCCCTAGAGCCTAGGAGAGCGCATGCAGCAGATGCTTAGTAATAAGCATGTTATGGGTTGAATCTGTTTCACTGGCACAGCTATGACAGAAGCAAGCGTAGAGAGGTACAGGCCTCCTTCCGGATGCATGAGAGTGCACACACATACACACACATCCAAGTTTCGCTGTACTAAGCAAAGTAATCACGGTCACTATAAATACCCATAACGTTATGCCCCAGAGTCCCTCCTGGAAATCATGGCCTCTAATGTTATCATGGCTTCAGCACCATCAGAGACCAGCCATGACTGCTGTGCAAAGACGCCTCTGGAGTGGCTAGGTGAGTGGACACAGCCAACCTCTGACTACACAGGCAGCAACTGGCCAAAAAGCCTCTACAAATGGCAGTCACATCTCCTGTCGCCTGACACACCAAGGGACTGATGGGGAAAACAAAGCTGAAGACGCAGAGACAACAGAAGGCCTAGGACATGGTAAACCAGGCACACAGCCTTCACGCAAAGGCCATGGGAAGAGAGCTGGCTGCCCTCGGCGTGAGGCACGACCTGTGGAAAGCGCTGCACAGGGCAGGCTGATTCTGTCAGGTGACTGTGGGCAACACTGCTTAGACCAAGAGGAAAAGAAGGGACACAGGCTCTGCACCATGCATATGGTGAGCTTCCAGAAGCAAGGTTAATCTAGAACACAACAAGGACCCCCCACACACACTAAAAACAAACAAACAAACAAAAACAAATGGAGGCACAGCGTCTGTCAAGAGTGCAGGTGGTCCCTGCGCAGAATGAGGCCCTGAGCAGCGTGCAGGCTCGTCCTGGGCCTATGCCACGTGCAGCACCCTACCAGGCCACATTGCCATGGGCTGTGTCGTCCAGGTGACAGAGCAGCTCCAGGGTCTGGGCGGTGCTTGCAGAGTCGTCGGGGGACTCCTGGCTTCCGGACTCCAGCTCCTTGGGCATCCTCCACACGGCAGCACGTGCCTGGACTCGGCTGTCGGAGGCTGAGCAACAGAGGAGAAAGTCAGCAGGGTGTCTGCAGACAGCACAGCGCACTTACACGGCCGCGGCTGCCCCGTCTGCTGGGCAGGCGGCAGCAGCTCCAGGCGCCGCCCAGAGACAGCAGCAGTGAGCCCACCTTGTCCTTGATTTAAAGCCTGCATTGTGGTTCAAAAAAAATTTAATTTCCTCAAAATCAATTTCCTCCCACTGTTTTCCAACGGCTCTGCAAAATAGGAGCCAAACAAGGGATGCGGAAACCTTCAGCAGGCACGCAGCTCGTGTCTGGGGGGCACTAAACAGGTCTCTCTGCTCACGGCTTTCGGGGCCTCCTAACAGGTGCTGGGCCCGTGAGATGTCTGGAAACGCTGCCACGCCTGGGCCTGCCCAGTTCACCCGAGGTGCTGAGCATCTGGCTCAGAGGGCAAGGCCACTCAGAGATGCCTCAGGCTGAAGACAGACACCCCATTCGCGCCCCGGCAGCCAGCAGAGAGCAGCCCCACACCTGCAGCCCCTCCATGACGTCCCCCCACCACCACTAACACGGTGTCCTCACGGCTCTGCCTCCAGTGGCCCAGCAGCCTGCTTGCTCAGCCTTTCACTCCTCAGGGCCCAGGGACCTGGCTTTCCCAGCGGCCCCTGAAAAGCCACTGGGCGAGCAAGCTGAGAAGGGCCGGGGCCAGCACTTGGCCCCCAGAAAGTTCTCAGTGTGTCCAAGTTCTACAAAACCAGACGGAACACGAGATTCCTAGACAGAGACCGTTCTGCATTCTGCTTTCCATTTAATTTTAAATTGCAAATGTGCTAAACACCTTCCTTTCTCTTTTAAAGACCACCTCAATGATCAGGTCCAAATATTAAGCAATCAAGTAGCATCAAGTGAAGACCACGACACACCCTGTCGGATGTCAGAAGAAAACGCACCTGGCAGTGTCTTTCCCTACACAGGAACGAAGACACCACGCGGGCCCCGCGCAGGGAGGAGGCCTCAGGAGTGTGAAAGCACGCCACCCACCTAGTTTGGATGGTCGCTCACCTCGACACCACAGGTGAGCCACAGGTATCCATAGCAGTGGACACGAGGACAGCACACGAGGCCTCCTGGCTGCCATCTCCATCCACAGTCAAACACCAGCCTGCAGGAGGGCCCCAGTGCTCCTCTCGCACGCTCGGTTAGTGTTGAGAAAACACGGAACTCTCTCTTAGAGGGAATCCCACAGAGAGCGGTGTGCCCACACGGTAACGCTAACACCTCTGCCAACTAGGGGAAGGCGAGGCCCAGTGCCTTCCGCTTCCATCTCCACAGACGTCCATTTCCTGCTGAGACGCGTGGCCACGCAGCACCCCTGCAGAGCCCCGGGGTGCCAGGAGAAGGCCCAAAGGGAGCCGGCAGCTCTACCTGGGAGAGCAGGGGAGCCCTGCAGCGCTGACCCAGCCGAGGGGCCCACTCGGCCGCCTTCCTAAGGGTCAGAGACAAGACGCCTCACCTGAGGCATGGAGGGCTACGGACCCCAGAAGAAAGGGAAGCACCAGGACCACGGCGGCAGGGGGAGAAAATGGCCGTTCTGTGATAGACCAGCCTGTGGCCGACGTCCCTGGCCCAGGCCCTGTGCTGGAGGACTCTGCCCAGCTACATTCCAGAACTGCCTGCTCATGCAACTCCTTGACCACTTCCTGTGATCACAAAGGCTAAAACACTCCAATCGCTGCCTCCCTTCAAAGTCTGCCTCAGGTAGGAGGCCCAAGTGACACGCTGGACGTCTAAGAGGCTTCACCCCTGTCCATGCACATCACCACCTGCCACACTGGAGGTCATTACCTCGACAGTGTGGGGTCAGCAATGTTATGAAACAAATGTGAGCTGTCCCCCCAAAGCGCATGTGAGACAATGCATTAAATCTCAAAGGTGAAACGGCTGGTCTGAGCCCCTTAACTTAGTCAGCACGTTAGTCCACCTGGAGGGGTTAACTGGGCGGTGACTGGAACAGGTGGGGTGTGCCTCTGGGGTTTATATTTTGTCCCTAATGAGCCAAGAGTAGTCTCTTCCTGCTTCCTGTCATGTCCTGAGCTGCTTTCTTCCACCACACTCTTCTGCCACCGTGTTCTGCCTCACCTTGGAGCCAGAGTAATGCAGTCAGATGTCTATGGACCCAGACCTCTGAAACCATGAATCCCAAATAGACTTCTCCTCCTCTAAAATTGTTCTTGTTGGGTCTTTTGGCCACAGCAGCAAAAAAGTTGACTACAACAGCCACTGAGCAACCAAAGGCAACACCACAACAAACGCACACCCCCACCAGGGGCTCCCCAAAGCCCCCGGAACAGGCCCAAGAGGAGCTAAAGACATAACCCACCAGGAGAGGAGAGAGAAGGAAACTTTCAAAGCTGGAAAGCAAGTGGTCCAGAGCCCAAAGATTTAGCACACCCAAGAAAATGGACTCCTGGCACAGCACAGGTAAAGCTTAAAACACAGTCCTCTCGTCCACGGCCCACACAGGCAAGATATGCTGTGCCCCGCTACGTGTAGTGAGCTGGCCACAAAATACGGCAAAAAATCACAACACAAATAATTTTAAAAAGCGAGGGTGTGATGCCTCTGCGACCTTAAGGTCCTGCCTCCACACTCGAAGTAGATAGTGAGCCCACGGTTTTTATTTTTATATGGTGGATACACAAAGGCTTTTCCATAGAATGTTCTTTACCCAGTAAGGCAGGGGGTGGGCTGTCCAAGCCCGAAGGGTAACGCCCAACTCTGGAGCTATAGAGCAGCCTCCATGGCCAAATAAGACTAAAGTCACGTGCTTTGCGTAATAAGCCACAGAATGACTTGCAATGGCAGACCAAACCTCCTTAGCTTCAAGGCCAAGTAGAGGCTTTGCAAACAGCTCAGAGGTGGCCCCCCCACAGTCCCCTGATCTTGGACCCATTCAGTGGTCATCTCTGTGGCCCACACACGTAAAATGCGAATGACACACTGGGCAGCTTTTGACATGTCCGTCCTGGGTCTGTGGCCATGGAAGGTCAAGGGGAAGCCTCTTGGGATGTGGACACACACGCCTACTCCAGGGATCAAGGAGATGGAGGGGCATGGCTTGGATCACTTCACACTGGCCTCTACAGAAGGGCAGCAGGCCCTAGACAATGACTGTAGACTACACTAAGATTCACAAAGCAGGAGGCCTGCTCACAGATGTGGCACCAGATGTGGACTCAAAGCAGACTCACAGCCTCTAGAACATGATGTCTGCACACTGTCTCCAGAAGCACCTGCCCACCCCAGTGAAGAATCAGGTCAGGAGCCACCTGTGTGCACAGCAGAGGAAACCAGCCCACAGGCTGCTGTGGAGCCAGGGCAGCTCCCCTCCTCCAGTCACACCAGAGTCCAGAGGCTCCTGGACACCCCGGGAGCACCACTTGACCCAGTGCACCGATGACGGCACACTGCCTGGGCAGCAGAAGGGTGCAAGAGGCAGGCTGTCGAGACTCAGGGACCTGCCACTCCAGCGAGGTTCAAGGGAAGAGCAGGACATATGAGCGAGAAACCAACGGTGCTGCGTCACACCCACCCAGGAGGTGTGGTGCCCAGTTAGCCTCCTCGCACTGCAGGTGATGCCCCTAAGACACTGGGATCCACCCAGCATGAGAGGCTGAGTGGCCCTGTCATGAGTTCAGCTGGGGAGGAGGCAGCTAGCCTCACCTTGGGGTCACACTACCTCAGGACCCTGCTACCATGGAAGATGTCGATGGCAAAAGCGCGCAGCGCAATGCTGCAGGAATGCCATGCTATCTCCAGCAGAGAGACTCCATGTGAGAACCAGCTCTGCCATGCTGCTGGGCCCTGACAGGCAGAACCCTGACCCCGGGCCACCCACAAGTCATGCCCAGTCATACCAACCAGGTCATGGAGTCAGACAGTCAGCAGCTATCCACTATAAAGACAGAGCACCCAGGACACAGCCAGGAAGACCGGGAGTGGAGGGGTGGCACAGAAGTACCGAGTAGGTACCTAGATGACACAGGACCCAGCAGCACCCCAAGACCACTTGTGGACCTTGTATTCCTTGCTGAAGGAGAAAGAAGAGGCTGGGCCAGCTTATGGATGGGAGGGCACAGCACAGAGGCACAAGCCAGAGAGGGGCAGCAGCCCTCCAACAGCCACATTCTAGAGAGGATGCCTGGGAGCCACGGTGTGAGAAGACGGTGCCAGGCGCAGGCCATAAGCACTGCACAGACCATCTTTGTAGCACACAAGGCACGAGGCACACACTCAAGGGTGTGTCCAGTGGCCTGGCTGGCTGGTCAGCACACTAGAAAGAAAAAGACTGAAAGAATGGAGACCCACAGGGCCAGCTGGGGTCACGGGGACACCCAGGCCTCATCTACCTTAGAAATGGAGAGTTCCTTCTCCCCTAAACAGACAGCCACAAGTGTGAGCACACAACCAGGGAAGCCGCTGTATGATGGGAGCACAAAGGAGCAGGCCCCAACCACAGGACTCATGCCCACCACAGTTCCCCCCCGAGGCTGTGGGGCCAACAGAGCCATGGACTGTCCAGCACGGGCACCTCCTGTTGCAGCACATACACAGAAGTAGGTACTCGTGCATAGCTTTGTGCCCCCCAGCAGATGGTGGTGTGGTACAAGGAGCTTTATTTTTAATTAATGAAAACTATGTATTTATAGTGCATTAACAAGACATGGAGCCAGCAACACACACTGTGCCTGACATACTTATTTTGTTGTTGCTGCTGCGGTTGTGAAAAACACCTAAAATTATCTCTCACCAATTTCCAGGCACACAATACACTGGTATGAACCCCAGTTACCAGGAGGCACCCGAGGAACTTACCTGGAACTCACTCCTTATGGCTGGCTCCCCGCTGACCAACCTCTCCCCTGTGCCCAGGCTGACTCTGTCCCTGGTGACAACCACTATCCCCCTACTCTGTGAGCTGGTCTCAGCTTCCATATCCAGGTGAGATGATGAAGAGCTCCCAGGCCCAAC